ATGGAGTTATTGCCGCTGAAATATCTATTTTTTCCAGGATTTGGCAGCTATCTTGCATATGGAGTATATATCTCCCATTTGATACGATATTCCAGAGCTTGCATTTCCTATCATGATTTCCTTGAAAGAGGGTTACTGCTTACACGGAAGCTATTAAACCAAGAGTGCCAAGTGGTGAAATTGAAGGCATCCCTTCGAAAATTTTACGAACGCCATCAGGAGTTGGTTGACGGTTATAGAATATCTTTTTCACAGATGACGACGGATATGTTCCAATTTCGCAACTACTATCCTGAGACTATTCACCGGGTTTGTACTAACAAGCAACACTACGGGTGCCACATGTAGAGCAGGATCTGATTACCCTTCCTAAGCACCTGAATCACTTTATTGGTTTTTTTTATTGGGGTTCGTATTGCTCAGTCTTTAGTTTTCTATGTCATGTTTTGTAAACTGTTGCTTGTCGTTTGGTCGTTTTTCGTTGTTTGAAATGTCATTGTCAGTAAAATATGTCAACTATTTTTTGAGTAATTGCCCTTGAAATATCCACTTATTGGGGTAAAGATCGCATACATGCAATCAAAACCCTTATGTGGCTGGCTTGATAGTTATCAACTTTCCAGATTTTATCACTACTTTTCAAAACATAGTGCATTGAGCACAACATTGTATACGTCCTACCTACATTGTGTATGCAAATTTCAAGAAATTCATAACTGAAATATATACAAATATTTAAGTTACAAAATGATGTGCATGACCATAATCTACAATTATATCTCCAGTTCATAGTATTGACTTCCAATGCTTTATAAATTGCAAGGTCTATTTTTTAATTCCCACTGCAAAATGAATGCAATTTTTACCTTTTAGTGCTGACAACCATTTTGATTCCAATCATAGTTTTGCAGATTTTTGCTGTTATCTTGGAAACTATAGGAACTAGGTTCACAGTGTGGGAACGGAACTGTACGTTTTTTTTTAAATTTTGTGGTCATTCGGGAGACTGTCAAGCGGGGCTCCGACATTCGAAAAAATAACAAGTTGGTAGATGGAAAGTTTGATCTCAAATGTTACTATATAAAGTTTCTGCTTCAAGATTTGGTAACGAAAACATTCTACATGTAAATACGATCCAATCAAATAATAAAAACGATATATATGCCTCCGAAAATTTTCCTTGGAATGGTGGAGCTCCGAGTAAATCGATCAAAACTGGCACACAACAGCGACAAAAAATGCAAAAAAAAACCCATAGAAAAACCGATTGTTGCTACAAGAATTTTCACATGTACCTTTTATGATATATAGTCTTACCTGTCTGACGGTTTAAAAGCCATTGTCCCAGGAGTAATTCAAATATATCATTATCTCAATGTATGATATTTTATTGACTGTACACTCGCTTGCGCGTTTACTGTACAATCACTTGGGCTTTTCCTGTACAATCGCTTGGACACATTCAAAACTTAGGTAAACAAAAATTGAAGGGATATAGAAATAATTTTAGTTGGCTTGACTTGTTTGACTCGTAATCCAATGATTCAAATATTCTTAGTTAAAGCTGGCTTCTCACTAATATTTTCGAATGCAGGTTAAGTTTATGACAAAAATGTCATTATAATTATTTTGAATCATCTTATTATCGTGATATAGCTTTTAGTTTAAACACATTTTAATTGAAAGACATTACATACAAAATATGATTGTAGTAATACACAATGGGATTCGGAAACAATATATAAAAATAAGGAGATGAGGTTTGATTGCCAATGAGACAATTATCCACCATTCAAATAAAGTGGATGTAAGCAATCATAGGCAACCGTACGGCCTTCAACAATGAGAAAAACCCATACCGTATAGTCGACTACAAAAGGGTTCGATATGAAAATTATGAAACAATTCAATTGAGAAAACTAACGGCCGAATTTATAACAAAACAATTAACGAAAAACAAATACGGCAGACATGAACCAACGACAATATAGTTCTTATATTAATCCATCTTCCTGTCAACAGAAAAAGGGAAATAATTGCTATTTGAATGGTTAAAAATCCGATCTTTTCGTTTCTACCGGCGGCGGATGTGTGTTTCAAGGCTGTACCTCTCAAATCCGAGATAAGTGACAAAATATGACCTCCCCTTACAACACTGAAAACTAGATCTTTTCAATGTTTGTTCAGTTTTAGCAAGAACGCTATCAATTATAGATTCACGAGAAAACGGTCTGGTGAATTGTAAAAATAGAAATAAGTTGAAATAAAAACAAAACTTCCATTTAATGTTATAAATAGCAAACGACGAGTACAGCTGGTTATAGGAGCTGATGTAAAATTGGTTTAAAATAATGCTATGCGAATAAATTCCTGGAGTACCAACTTCAATTCATTTTTCTACTGGCTGTATACCTCTCTGGAACATGCTAATTGTCCGTACATATGTTAGGAATATGGTATTATACCAGCAGTTTATTCGGAACTAAATATACTTGGCTTTATCATTATCCATTTACACTCGGAGGACTACTACGTCATACAAAGGAATTCCGGGATTCCCCATGGATTATTGGGCAGTCATAGTTAAGTTGTTATCCTGATCGGACGTCCCCATTTGATGAGCGGCCTATAAGATAACCAGTGACTCAAGCCTAGTATTGTGATATTTTAGGTAATATACTGCATATACGTATCCCTATTAAATCATTACAGTGGTGTCAGAAGTCGGCACGATTCCACTGATTTCCACTGCGGTTTATCGGTGACATTTATATTCGCCGAATTTCATATTTTTTTTCTTTGTTTTCGCGAGAGGAAAATCTTTGTTTCTTCTCTCCCGCGATTGTATTATTTCATGGAGCGCTGATTTATCAGTACTATTGATATTTGCGCGACTGATATATTCGTTTCATATTCATATTTTGATTATCAGACTTTCCGTGTGATAAAATTCCCATCCCCCTTTTTGTAACACATTTACAAAATACACAGCTTTGCATACACCTTGAGAATAAGACAAAATATGTCATAGGTGTTTTCAGATTGTTTTTGTTTTTTGCTATACTTGTGTTTTCATTTGCAAATCAGAATAAAATCAATATACCAAATTTTCTAAAATTGTGATTGTATGTAAAAGTGTTTGTGATTTAAAAAAAAAAAACATTCTGTTTGTGGGTGTAGTGTTTTTGAGCTTGTGTTTCAAAGAAAAAGCTTATTGTTTTGTGATAGTGCTTGTGTTTGTATTGTAATAGCCTATGCGTACATATTACTTTTTTATTCATTTTAACATTAGTCAATCCTTATACTTTGATAGTAACATACATAGATTTATTTTATTTTTTTTTGTATAAAAGTATATTAGATATTGGCCATTATGTCGCAACCTATCAATATAAACACAGCTTCGTTGGAACAACTAAAACAGATATCAGGAATAAGCGACAGAAGAGCACAAAAGATTATAAATAAAAGAGAAGAGAACGGCTCCCCTCTTATTTTGGAAGACCTAAAACTTATGACGGACATTCCTAATACCATGTGGGATCCACTGATGAAGACTGGGGTTATAATATTGGAATCATCCGAAGAAATCCAAGAAGAGATCCAAGAAGATGTTACGGGGAAAGCAGAAGAAAATGCCAAAGAAATATAGAAGATGGCAGCAATGATTGAAAAATTAAAAACAAGTTTTTCAAATGCAGAGAAAGAAAAAGCACTAATGAAAACAGATTATGAACACAGGATTGCAGCTGTAAACCAGGACTTCACAGTTAAGATGAAAAACAGAGAACACGATTACGAACAACAGTATGTAAACCTTGCCACGAGACATAAGGAAGAATTGGAAGAATTGATTAACAAATTTAACGAAAGAGAGCTGAAATTAAATCAATTTATAGAAGAACGAGGCGAACAGATGAAAAAATTACAGATAACTATGAAGACGGAGACAGATGATAAAACGAAGTTACAGGAGTTGATTGGAAAATGGTCATTACCAAAAGAGAAGCCTAGCATGAATATAGCTGAAACTAAAGATGAACCTAGTTGGCAAACCAAAACCAATACACACACAGGACAGGGCAATAAACGACAAGATGGTCCATTGCCACCTAAGATGAGCACATATGATGGTAGGAGTGACTGGCGACCGTACCTTGTTCAATTCAATCATATTGCCAATAGATATAACTGGACGAATCAAGACAGACTTATTGAATGTTTGAGAGACAGAGCACTAAAGTTTTTTACCACAATGCCAAAGTCAGTCCAGGAAGGATATCAATAAAGGCAACAGTAGTATACCGCTGTTCGAAAACTCATAAATCGATAGAGATAAAAGCAAATCCGGGTTACAAACTAAAACTGAGGGAAACGCATCAAATATAAGAGGAGAACAACGACACAACAAAAACACAACATTAAAATGTAACACACACAGAAACGAACTATAATATAACAATGGCCATTTTCCTTACTTGGTACAGGACATTTTAAGAAAAAAATGGTGGGTTGAACCTGGTTTTGTGGCATGCCAAATCTCCCGCTTTTATGGCAACGTCAAACACAACACCAAAACGACAACATCACATGACAGGACCACAATACAAATAAATGGGAGAACATATAGGACAAAGAAACACACGAATAATAGCTAACAAAAGGTACTAGGCATAAAATTCAATACGTCAGACGTGCGTCTCGTCCACACAAGACCAACCAGTGACGCTCAGATGAAAAAAGTTTGAAAGCCAAAACAAGTACAATGCTGAAGAGCACCGAGGACCAAAACTTCCAAAAAGTAGCGCCTAACACGGCTAGGGTTTTCTGCCTGGGACAAGAACATCCTTATTATTTAGAATAATTTATAATTTTGCAAACAGTAAATTTATAAAATGACTATATAATAGATATACATGATAAAACCAAAGTGGGGACTAACTACAGAATAAAAACGGATACATTACATAAAACAACTTAATCAAGCTGTTTGTAAGAAGATGGAAGACAGATTTGGAAGAAAGGACTTACCTCATGTTATAAGGAGACAACTGCAAGACCTTCGTCAATTGCCAGAGGAACCTCTTGATGAGTATGCAGAGAGAACACAGGATCTTGCAACTGATGGGTTTCCAGGAACACCTGATGATTTTATTCCGATAGTTGCCACTGATGCATTTTTGAAAGGCTGTATGGACAAAAAGGCAGCTCTAACAGCAATGGATAAGGATCCTGATAGTTTGGACAAAGTGCTTAAGTATGTAAGGAGTGTTGTTACCAATCAGAAAGTTATTTTAGGAAATAAAAAGCCTGAGGTTAAAAGGGTGACATTCCATGAAACAGAAACAGACATGTATAACTCACATGGGGATCATGAATCCACCACAAGTGTAAGAGCTTTGTACAGTAAAGGAACAAGTGATACTGATGTAATTAGTAAACTTGAGTCAAGACGTAAAAAGACAGAAGAAGATGTTCAAGAAACAAAGTCGAGCATCAAACAGATACTGGACATCTTGAAAAGAGGTAATTCAACCAATAGATTCGGACAATCACAAAGATTATCAAGTCCAGGAAGAAGTCCTATTAGAGATAATAAATGCTTTAAATGTGGTGAAGAAGGACATTTTATTGCACAATGTGAAAAACCAAAAAGTAGATCGCCACAAAGATATGGAAACAGGTCAAGGTCACCCTCACCAAATGTAAACAGGGAATCTTTAAACTCCAACGGGTTGAAGCAGTAGGCCGACCTTCAGCCCATCCAGGTGATACTGGAAGGCCACAAACTCTCTCTTTGGACAAACAAACTGAAGTCAATTTATATAAGACAAATATCCAAGACTCAGACGCCAAGACATTATATATTCCTGTAGTGGTGAACAGCAAGAAAACTTTCGGAGTAATAGACACGGCAGCACAGGTGTCGGTTATAAGTAAGACATTCTTTAACCAGTTAACTTACAAACCCAAAGTCAAAGGTAACATCATACTAAAAGGTGCTGGAGCTTGTTCAGAAATAAAAGCAGGAATAGCAGAAAATGTAAACTTGGACATAGGCAGTTACACAGTAAAATGGGATATGGTTGTAGCTGAAATAACAGATAATCTCATTCTAGGTATAGATTTTCTTGAGAGCCAAAAAGCAGTTATTGATTTGACAGACTATTCTATCAAATTTAAAGGTGAAAAAATTCCATCCTTCATGACTTCAAATAGACAGGACCAACAAATGAAAATATACAGAATAAAGATAAAAAAGAAGACAGTCATACCACCTTGCTCTAGTAAAGTTGCCATTGTTGAGTTAGATGAGAAACCGATGAATGATATTGTAATTCAACCAACCAATTTCATGAAGGGCCTGTTGGTGCCAAACATGCTCTGTATGGGTAAAAAACAAATTCCTGTAATGCTAAGAAATCCAACAGAGCAATATAAAACACTGAAAAAAGATTTTCAGATGGGTATAGGATTAGAGATTAATGCTGTAATGGAGGAAATAGACAAACATAGCTTTTTTAAAGTTGAATAAAATTGATTTTGATCAAAAACAGTCCTTTGACCTGAACCAGCTAAGAGAGAAGTTACCAACACATTTAAAAGAACTATTCAACCGATCACTAGCAAATTTGAACAACCAACAGTCATTGCAGCTAGTCACATTATTACTGAAGTTCCAAGATATTTTCGCTAAGGATGACCTGGATATTGGACTTTTCAACGGAGATATCCAACATACGATTGATACTGGAAGTTCTCATCCTATTAAACAGAAAATGCGCAGAACACCTCTGGGATTTGAAAAAGAAGAAGAAGAACATTTACAGCAATTGTTAGATAAAGGAATTATAGAACCATCTACTTCAGAATGGGCATCACCACCAGTCTTAGTTAGGAAGAAAGACGGGAAGCTCAGATACAGCATAGACTTCCGGAAGTTAAATGACGTCACTGTAAAAGACGCGTTCCCGATTTCGAACATAGACACCTGTTTAGACGCATTGAAAGGAACCGTTTTCATGTCAACGCTTGATATGGCCTCAGGGTATTATCAGGTGAAGTTAGACGAAAAAGACAGACACAAGACAGCGTTTGTTACTAAATACGGTCTATTTCAGTATACAAAACTTCCATTTGGTCTATGTAATAGTCCTGCAACATTCAGCAGAATAATTCAGCTTGTTCTTCAAGGCCTTACCTGGAAAGAATGTTTAGCATATCTTGACGATGTCATTGTTTTAGGCAAAGATTTTGATGACCATATCTGTAGTTTAAGTGAAGTGTTTTCGAGGTTCCAGAAGTACAACTTAAAATTAAAACCAAGCAAATGTCAACTGCTACAAACACAAATGAAGTTCTTGGGGAAAATAGTCAGCGCCGACGGAGTTGCGGTGAATCCCGACAGTATAGGATCTGTAAAGAAATGGCCAACACCAAGGAACAGAAAAGAAGTGGAATCCTTTATTGGATTCGTTAACTACCATCGTGATCACATAGAACAATTTGCTGAAACTGCGGAACCTTTACATCGACTTACTGGTCCAAAGGCAGAATTTGCATGGAATGAAGAACAAACACAGTCTTTTCAAAACCTTAAAGAAGCTTTGATAAATTCAGTGATATTAAGTTATCCAACACCTGATGACCTCTTTATTTTAGATACAGATGCTTCACAAAAATCTATCGGGGCAGAATTAAGCCAGATACAAGATGGAGTGGAAAGAACAGTAAGCTTCGCAAGTAAAGTCTTTACAGCGGCTCAGCGGAATTATTGTACAACTAGAAAGGAATTATTGGCCATTATATGTTTTACTAGGCAATTTCGTCACTATCTATTAGGTCGGACTTTTGTGATAAGAACGGACCCAACAGTTTAACCTGGTTACTAAACTTTTAAAATATTGAAGGACAACTGGCAAGATGGATAGAAGAACTGTCTCAGTATAACATGATTATACAACACAGAGCTGGAAAGAAACATATTAACGCAGATGGATTGTCAAGAATACCTGATGACATTGAAGCATGCCGTAACTACAGACCAGATGTCAATTTAGAAGAGTTACCTTGTGGAGGTTGCAAGTTTTGCACAAGGGCACGACAACAGTGGCAAACATTTGAGGAATAAGTGGATTTTGTCGTCCTCTTAACCATTAGAAGACTTGTTGACGACGATTCATATAATATAAATTGGACTCCGTCATACTCTCCAGTAGAACTTCATGAAGAACAAATGAAAGATTCTGATTTAAAAACTTTAAAGAGATGGATCGAGGATAAATATGAGCCAACTAAAGCAGAACTCAAACTGTGTAGTGAAGTAGTCCGACATTTTTGGTCATTACGACAGCAAATACATATAAAAGACAATATTTTGCTTTACAAGTGGGAAGATCCTATTTCGCCAAGACTCCTCTTCATGACATCAAAACAGATGCAAAATGAACTTCTACATGGATGTCATGATGTCGCCTCGTCTGGTCATTTGGGACAGTACAAAACATTAGAAAAACTGAAACAAATAGCTGTTTGGTTCAACATGACGCAATCCTGCAAACTTTATGTGAAATCATGCACTACATGTAATCTTAACAAGAAACCAACACGAACCGCCAGATCGAAGCTAGGGCAATACCATGCTGGTTTCCCAATAGAACGAGTACACATGGACATCTTGGGGCCTCTTCCTGTTACAAAAACAGAAAGTAAATATTGGTTATGGTAATTGATCAGTATACAAAGTGGTTAGAATACTTCCCAATTGCAACACAGACAGCTGAAGTTGTGGCAAGAACCCTGGTGGATCATTTCTTTTCTAGATTTGGCTGTCCAATTGAGCTCCACACAGACCAAGGAAAAACATGGATGGAAATTTAGTAAGACAGCTCTGTGAACTACTACAAATAGCCAAGACTAGAACCACACCATATCATCCGTCATCTAATGGGCAAGTGGAACAGTATAACAGAACAATATTACAGACAATAAGATGTCATATCAAAAGTAAACAACACAACTGGGATTTATTTTTACAACAACTAGTTGGAGCTGTCCGAGCAACACGCAACTCGCAAACAGGATTCTCTGCTAACATGATGATGCTGGGAAGAGAAGTTTTCCAACCACTTGATGTAATTTTAGGCACGTCAAACTGGAATGCTGACAGAAAAGAAGTTCCACAATATATTAAAGATCTAGTGGAGAATTTAAAAAAGGTGCATGACATTGCCAGAGATAATTTGAAGGCTTCTCAGGAACGACAAAAAGGCATATATGACTTGAAATATAACCAGAATATTTATACTGTCGGAGATGTCGTTTATAAACTCAATCAAGCTACAAAGGTGGGACAGTCTGGAAAATTGAAATCTCCGTGGAAAGGACCATATTTGATAACAGCTTGGCGATCACCTGTATTATACAAGATTAAGGATAGGAAAACATAATCTTGGATTCATCATGACAGAATTAAACTTTGCGAAGACAGAGAACTTCCAATCTGGATTAAAAGGATGAGGAATCAATTATTGGATCAAACTATGGATGAAGAAATCAACGAGATGGACGAATGCACACTTGGATTGCCAGATATATTTAAAGAAAACACTAATGTCATGAGTTCGTCAGATCCTCTGATGTCTCATTTCATTAGTGATGCTGCTATTGTGAGTGCGCCAGATCCTCTGGTGTCTCACACAGTCAGTAATTCGAATTCTTTTGATCCTGCGTCGTCTTCAGAGAATAAAGGTCTGACCGACATGTGTGAGAAGAATATCAATGGGGATCTTCATGTTCATGAAATGGACGCATCTTGTGTTGAATCCGATATGTTAAGTAGGAGGAGGCAAAGGAAAAAACCTGTTTACTTATCAGACTATGTCGAAGATTAATGATTTTGTTACAGATAATCATTATTTATGTATAATATTGTAATATAGTTTTTTGTCCATTATTGTTACATAGGAAAGAAATTTTTAGCCAAAATGTAACATATTTTTTAGCTTTACTACTGTAATAATGTGTGCGCAATTTTTGCTTATAAAGAAACTTTTAAAATATATTTTGATATTTATCTATATTTATCGTGTATGTCTCATCTCAATGTTTTTACTTATTCCTGCAGTATGCATGAAGATGATGAATTCGAGCTAGACTATGGACCTTTCGAGGATGAACTACCAAAAAATGATGCAATGTATATTCGTGCGAGTACAAAGAGATACAATAAGGGAAGAAAGTGTCCGACGTGTGCTGGAATTTTCACTAATGTCAGCAGACATGTGTTAAGAACGCACCTACCTTGGTATGTTGCCGCGCAAACTGCTTGCTGGCAGTGCAAAATACAATTTGCCCAGAATAGTGTTTTAGAAGCTCATATTGCAGAATGCCATCAATCTGACATTGAAAATACAAATATAAAATTTTCGGAAGACAAATATGAACGTTGAGTCAACCTTATGAATGGTTTGTTGGATGTTGTTTCTAAAGAACTCGGATGTGATACGTTGCAAGATCTCTGTAATTTAGCTGACAAAAACTGTGTTTATCCCAAGCATTCGGAGCCCATTTTTCAGGAAAAAGATTTAAAACTGTTATCCATATTTAATGCCACGAATGAATATGTATTTGAATTTGGAAGTAAAAATATTATAGTTCAATCTCCATACAGTATACCGTTCTTGTTACATTGGAGAATATTAGCTTCGTTGATCCAGCAAACAGAAATGGGCGAGAACATCATCTCCGTAGAAAAAATTAAATCTTTAAGACCAGTTTTTGAGGTAAACGAGACATTACATCTTACGGACTCTCATTTTCATTTGGATATGCTATCAAAAAAAATAGGCACCATTTCATTACCTCCCTATTTTTGGACTTGGAGCAACAAAGATTATAAAATATCCCATCTTATTAGCAATTACTGTTATCCCAGAAACTGGCCATCTAGTGATTTAAGATCCAAAATTAGAAATGAATAACAGGATTAGACTAACTTTCGGCATTCACCCACGAATTGTGGAACTGGAAAATTCTTCTAAATTGAATGAATGGATTTCTGATTTAGAATGGATGTTAAAAGCGAATAGAGTGGTTGCTGTCGGTGAGTGTGGTTTAGATAATAGTGGGAGGAAATGGGATGTAGAAAAACAGATTGTAATTGCAGTTAAAAGAGACTTACCGTTGGTTATTCATTGCAGAGGAGATGAACGTACTGATGAGATGTGATTGAATACACTTGTTCGTTTGCTGCCAAAACATTTTAAATTACAAAGGCACTGTTTTAATGGAGATGAAGTGATGTATCGGAAATGGAAAACGTCATTTCCGAACTGCAAATTCGGCATTTCACCTTTCATCCTAAATGACCAAAAATATCCAAAATTTAGGTCTCTGGTGTGTAATATGAAACTGAGGGATATTGTATTGGAGACAGATGCCCCGTATCTACATTCTGAGTTGGAGGAATTTGGCTCGCCGTTGATGATAAAGGATATCTGTGAAAAGTTGGCAAACATTTTCTTTCTTGTGTAGTGTGGAGGAAGTAGCCAATATTACGACCAAGAACGCTACAGATGTCTACAACATCATTTAAGTCATGGCGGATATTTTGTATATAGTAATCATTTTGTACATAGTTATTGTACATAGTTTATTGTGACCATTTTGTGACATTCCAACATTATGTCTACATGTATCTACTTCAATTAACGGACAACTGTATTTCAAATTAAGGATTCATTTTCGCATTTAAACTTCAAACCGTTTGTACCATTTAGTGTTTAGATGTAAAAGGAATACCCATAACTTTATTCTACAGAACGGGTTTACTTCTTTGAAAAAGGGAGGAATGTTAGGAATATGGTATTATACCAGCAGTTTATTCGGAACTAAATATACTTGGCTTTATCATTATCCAATTACACTCGGAGGACTACTACGTCATACAAAGGAATTCCGGGATTCCCCATGGATTATTGGGCAGTCATAGTTTAGTTGTTATCCTGATCGGACGTCCCCATTTGATGAGCGGCATATAAGATAACCAGTGACTCAAGCCTAGGATTGTGATATTTTAGGTAATATACTGCATACACGTATCCCTATTAAATCATTACACATATATACAGCTAGATCAGAGAAGTTCAGGGAAACAATTCAAAAGGAATCGATTGATATGCAGCAAAGATTAGCACTTTTGAAATTTAGTAACTAAGCAAATTCAAACGAACCTTATCCGAGACATTGAATGTGAATTGATCGAAAAGACCGCAAATACATGTTCAAAAATCGAGACGACCTTTTCTTAAAATTGTATAAAAAATAGTAAAAAGATACCTACTTTATAAAAAAATATTTATCTTTAATTTTTTAACCTGTACAGACAGGCTTTAAAATTGTTACAATCACGAAAAGACAATATTTCTATATTGCATGTTCACGTGACAAGAGCAGACCGGTGTACTAGAAAACCTAGATGTGAAAAATAAGTATATTTTTTGAAATTGTAACATGCTATGGACTTTGTGGGACATCCTGAAAGTTGGTTACCCGAAAGATCTTTAGATTTTGTATGTACATGATTTTTTCCAATTTTTGTTATCAATATGCAGCAAAGATTAACATTTTTTAGATTTCAGTTTCACAAGCTTTTAATGTAATTATCTCGATAAATACTGAACATAAAACATCGAATTTTCGTGTATTTGCATGTATATTTCTAATAATACAGTTTAACAAAT